TGTGGCGGATGATCTCCAGATGGGTGTGATCGAGGAGTTTTCCGGAGGGTTGTTAGGAGCAAATTTCTTAAAAGGACAGGCTACTGACTGGCTGACTGACCTTCTAGTCATTTCCCCTGCATATTAATTCGATGTGTAATTGTAGGTTAACCTAACGTAAATGATACAGACAGTACTCTGTGAAAGATGAGTTAAATAAGACGATGCATAAGTTTAATAAGCTAAATGTCAGACGATCTTGACATTATGACATTTACAAATAAAATGTCATCGTTATTTCCCGCTTTGAAGCTAAATTTGCTTCTCTCGTCCCTTTCCCTCCCCATATCGAATTGTCCTTCTCTTTTTCCCCACTCGTTTTCCCCCACTCGTTTTCCCCATCTCTAGCTTCTCACATCTTTCTTTCTCCCTTATACTATCTCTTTCCTTCCTGTTATGGTACCCTCCCCATTCCCATCTCATTCCATCTTCTCCTTTCTCTCTTTCTTGTTTTTTTTTTCTGTTTAGTCTAATTTTCCCTATTCAAATACAGTTTTTCTCACACATGTTCTTTCTTTGCTTTTCCATCTCTTTCACTCACTACCCTTAAACTTCCTTCCTTCTCTCTCTGTCTCCCTCGTTCTCTCTGTGTCTCTCTTCGTGTGTTTCTCGCTTCCTCGTCTTTCTTTCTCTTTCTTACCTTTTCCCTCTCCTCATCTTCCTTATACCCCTTTGTTTTTCCGTTTCTTTCTCTTCCCCCTCCATCTTGTTTTTCTTCCCATCTCTCTCTTCTTATTCTTCCTTTTCTGCCTATTTTTCTCCCCCTCTCTGTCTTGTATGTCTCTGCACCTTCTGCGAAGTATCAGTATCTCTGTTCCTTTTCTTCCCTCTCTCTGTTCTCCCCTTTCATTTCCTTTTTTCCCTCCCCCTTTGCTTACCCTCGTTTACACACATACACACAAATGAACCAACTAAAGATACACCATCATGTTTACAGCATAAACAAATATAGAATGCCATTATTTCATTAATCGCAAACTCTAAAATTTAGTTTTGTCAACGTAATTGTAGCCTGGTTTTATTGCATCAGTTTCACTGGCTTCAGTAGTTTGTTATGCCATTACTTGTGGCATATTGTTCCTAACTGTACTAGTGTTCCTTCTGGGCATGTTTGAATCCTCTTTCAGGTCTGAGTCCAGGTCCTTGTGGGTGTCCGTTTCGCGCGTCCGTCTTCCTGGCTGTACCTTCCGTGTCCTATGCATGATTTTCATTATGAATGGGCTGTTCTTCTATCTTATGAGGTCGTATAATTATGTTGAGTTACTGTGTCCTGTGGGGTAGCGGCTAGACGTGGGTTCGCATCCTGGCGGAGCCAGACCTTTTTAAAAAAAAATGACCTTGACTCCTAGGTCGACCCAGGTTTGGGTGGATACCGGGTGCAGTCCCGGAAAGTAAAGGCGGCCGGCGTGATGCTGACCACATAACACATCTTGTGCCGATTGGTCTATAAAAATATAGGTCTAGCCCTATGTGCCCTATAAGCCTAAAGGCGTGGAAAAGGGACCTTTACTTTACTTACTGTGTCCTGTCGTCTGTCCTTAAGGTTACTGACCATTTGATTGTTGTCCGTCTTCTCCTTTTGTGCGACCCTGCTGTAGGTCTGTCCTGTTCAAGCTCCTTACTGTCCTTTGAGCTTCTCATGTAAGTACCAAGCATTCGCCAATACTGCAAAACCACTACCGATCTTATTGTTTTCGAACTTTGAATGTTGTTGGAAACGACAGTGATATCAATCAAATCAACTTATAAAATAACGATGTATCTGAAAATAAAAAGTGGAAAATAGCATGCTAATTTATAGAACACTGCCGTATGTCGGAGTTGTGTGATCCAGGTGTTAATTGACTTGTTTACCAGCTGTGTGTGTTCCGGGATCCAACCATAGGCGAACAAACAAAAAGGAACAACCCCCCCCCGCGACCCCTTTTTTTTATCTGTCCTTCAACAAGTGCCACAGACAACATCGATAGTGTTTTGCTTTGGATCACTATTACTAAAAAAAATGTCTTGACTCCAATAAATTAACATTTATATTATCTATATACTTATGTGTAACTATTTGTTTCTTCAACAGGTGCACAACCGATTTCTAGTAAAGAAAAAGCACAACATTGTATAATTCAATTCTTCGCCATGTTACAGAGAACGATTTCAAGAAATAAAACCGCTTCGTAACATATGGTCTTGGCTTAACTTAGGGCAGAAAAATAACAATTACTTATTTGATTCATGGTGTGTCAGAAGGAACACACAGATTTAACGCAAAACTTTCTGTGTGAGGGACAATGACATCAACAAACAGAAAAGATTGTTAAATGCGAAAGTGACGTCAGTGTTTTGAGAATAAAACTATATGAACAGATTCTTAATAGATTACTTTCAACTGCTTCATTAAAACTTGACTGGCAATTGGACGTTTATAAAAACAAGGGTTTCGCAGTCTTTTGGAAAGATAACATTCAAGAACCGATTCTAATATAAGGACTTGAATGTGTTATAGAAAACAACAAACGGGGAACGACGCTATCCAATTCGAGAAGTGACAGGCTAGTGCTAAGTTTGCCTGCGTTATCTGAAAACCACACAAAAAAAAAATATTTTCTGACATGCAGTAAGCATATCTGTAATGCGTTTAAGAAACACACAATGTGGTATTCAGTTTAGTGTTTCATGTGAATATTGAGAAGAACAATTTTTATTGTATAGATTTCAGTTTCTAATAATTTACGTTAACAGAGGATTCGCTTGTGTGAGTTGATGGCAAATACAATGAACAAACAGTGACCATGAGATCAATTTATAGCATCAGCAGGGATAACAAAGAAAGGAACACGATGGAGGTAAGTAGATAGCAGAGTGAATGTGTTTGTTTGTTTAGTTGTTAGTTTTTTGTCGGTGTTTGTTGTTGTTGTTGTTGGTCGTGGCGCCAACTTATTGACAACGGATTAATACCATCATCGCTTGGTTTATTTATCAGAACAGATCTCAGACAAAACACATTGATATCCATGTGAAAGTCAAGCTGGCAGATGTCGTGAAAACTAGCAACACACACACACACATTAATTTATGTCCTTTTTGTTGAGCTTGTCTTGGTCTTTTGTATCCACTAGATTAGCGGTTCTCAACCCGCCGGTCGCGACCCCTTTTTAGGGTCGAACGACCCTTTTACAGGGTCACCTAAGACCTTCGGAAAACACATATTCATTGAAGTTATGATGGTAAATATTTCATTTAGGGGTTTGCCACAACGTGAGCGAACTGTATTAAAGGGTCAGGGTATTAGGAACGTGGAAGCCACTGCACTATACGCATATAAATCCAATGCAGTTAACAGTATTGACCTGTTAAATTGTCATTTTGTTCTGCTTAGTTCACTCTTCAGTATGCATTTTACCATCAACATATGGCAATTTCATTTCCCTTTATATATTTTAACAACTGACGTTGTTGGCTTATTTTATACCTAATTATCCTGTTTTCGTACAATATAACTACATTTATACATCCCATATATTTTTCTTTACCCATAGCATATAATATTATATACGCATTTCTTTACCCCAGATAGTTTTTTTTTTTAAATTGTGTTAAACCACATGGTTTAAAAATGTATTATATCTTATGTAGCTTTATTATATTTCCTTATCCCACGTAGCTTGATTATATTCCTTTATCAAGTATAGCTGTATTATATTACTTTGTCCCATGTCGCTTTATTATATTTCTCTGTCCTATACCGCTTTATTATATTCCTTTGTAAAATGTAACTTTATTATATTCCTTTGTCCTATACCACTTTATTATATTCCTTTGTCAAATGTAACTTTATTAAATTCCTTTGTCCTATACCTCTTTGTTACATTCCTTTGTCAAATGTAACTTTATTATATTCCTTTGTCCTATACCGCTTTATTTTATTCCTTTGGCAAATGTAGCTTTATTATATTCCTTTGTCAGATGTAGCTTTATTATATTCGTTTACCCCATGTAACTTTATTATATTTCTATATCCCACGTAGCATTATTCTTTTTCGATATGCAACTTTATTATATTTCTGTATCTCATCTAGTTTTATCAAATTTCTATACCCCATGCAGATTTATTATACTTCTTATTCCCATGTAGCTTTAAAATATTTCGTTGTCAACTGTAGCTTTATTATATTTCTATAGCTCACGTAGTCTTATTCTATTTCTATTTCTCATGTCACTTTATTGTATTTCTTTACCCCATGTAACTTCATTACGTTTCTTGGTCCCATAAAATTTTATTATTTTTCCTTGTCGAAACTAGCAGTATTATATTTTTTAGGTCCCATGTAGCTTTATAACATTTCCTTGCTCCATGTAGCTTTATAAAAATTATTTTTTCCCTGTAGCTTTATAATATTTCTTTGTCCCATGTCGCTTTATTATGCTTCTTTGCCCATGTAGCGTTTTAATATTTCTTTGTCACGTGTAGCTTAACTGGATTTTTCTTATCTAATGTAGTTTTATCGTATTTCTATATCCGATGTAGCTTTATTATTGTTATCCAATACAGCATTATTATATTTTTCTATTCTTGTAGCTTTACGGCATTTATTTGTCCAATGTAGCATGATCCTATTTTTTTGTTTCATGTAATTCTCGTGTCTGCCGAGACAGTAATCTGGGTTCCTGCCACAGAAGTGGCCAGAATGTTTAACCAGTAGGGCCAAAAAGCAGAACTAGCCTCAGAATAATGAGTACAGTGTAATTTCCAAAACTGTCTAGAAATTGCCTTGGAGAGAAAGGTCTTGGGGTAAAGAAGCCGGTCATCCTATGTCCTGGACCTTAAAAAGTAAGTAAGTAAAAGAAAAGGACCCTTTTCCACGCCTTTAGGCTCATTGGGCAGATAGGGCTAGACCTATATTTTTTATAGACCAATCGGCACAAGATGGGTGATGTGGTCAGCATCACGTCGGGCCTAAAAAGAGTTTTCCCAACTTTTCACTTTGATAACATACATTTTAAACATTTCTTACATTAAACCAGTGACAGCAACATGTTTGACTCCTCGAATTACGAAACGTGTAGCGGTCCATAAAGAAACAGATACATTATGTGTTTGTGTGTGTGTATGTATGTGTGTGCGTGCGTGTGTGTTTGTATGTGTGTGTGTGTGTGTGTATGTGTGTGTATGTGTTTAAAAAATCTAAATACTTTTCATCCCCATCGCCACGATCTCATCCTCAGACAAACCAATGTCATTCAGGGTTATTGCACTCTTTTGACCTATAAACTTATCGATCAGAGACAAAAGAATGGTTGTCGGCTTGTGTTTTATTATCTTAATCCGCCAACAGACACTGTCTCCTTGTCTCTGAATCGCGAAACCTGTTTCACCAACAGGGAAACTTTCATGGTTTCACTGTTTTAGATTATCCATATTTTGGAGATGGTATCAAAAAAAAAAAAAAAAAGAATTATTCCTAAGTGTGTGATAAAAGTCAATGGTGCTATTTTGGGACAAGTACAGAAATACACACGGATAACATCAGATGGAAGATGCATTACTAAGATAAGAAACAGAATAGGACAGGCAAAAACTGCATTTTATATAATTAAGAACATCTAAAGTAATATATCTTTGTCATTAGGAGTTAGAAAAAAGAATTCGTGCTTGCTACATACATCCAGTTTTAACATATGGCTGTTAATCCTGGACAATCCGTAGGCAAGCCAAACATTTTCTTGAGGCCTCAGAGATGTGTTTTTACAGAGGAATGCTTAAAATACCTTGGACAGCCAGAAAGAGCAACCAAGAGGTTTTGAACGAAGCGAAAGCCCAAAGACAACTTATCACAGACATCAGAAGGAGACCATTTTTCGGCCATGTTATGAGGACAGGGAAAATGGAACATGTTGTGACTACTGGAAATATCAGTGGAAAAATGGATAGAGGAAGACAACGAGAGAAAATTCTTGACAGTCTTGTTGCACGGCGTATAGGTCAGTCAGCACACCAACTAAAACATGCTGCAAGAGATCGTATTTTGTGGAGAGTCATGATGGCACGCCCACGCCAGTCGACAAGGTACCTGATGATGATAAAATTTTGGATGTTGACATTTTTTTTTTCTAACTGCACAACAACGAATGTTTTTTGTGTTCTGCTATTTTGTGAGCTCAAGGGCCATATTTACACCAGCCTCGTGAGCCAGAAAAATTGATGGGGGAGCCAGTTTAGGCCATTTTTTTTTACCTATCCCTGCGCTAAATTAACCCCTTATGAAAGTTACGGACACACTCACAAAATGTTGTAATAAAGTGATTCACGGCAAAATATATGTCACGAAAACCTTTTTTTTTTACATTTAAAATATATAAAGTCAAAGAAAAATGCCATATAGTAAGTATAATTTAGCACTGCGTTGTGTGCAGACAGACAGACATGATATTGTAAGTCGGCGTCGATGGCTCGGCGTTAGTTAGTTAGTTAGTTAGTTATTCCTCTTGTGCCAAAGATGGCGCATAGGGCAGAGGTCATAGCTTTCCACGTCTGTCGGTTCTTTGCCACTTGATGTAGGTCTTGAGTGCGACTGAGACGTTGCGTGCGTATTATTCTAGTTTAATCTTTTTGTTCACGCGACACATCTTTTCACTGCAAACAAAACTTTAAAACAGCGGTTCCCAACCTTTTTTTCTTTCTTCTCTAGTCGCAACCCTAGTTATGTAGAGGCAAAATGATTAGCATCCTTATACATTATAAATAAACTGTTTAATGCGGTAAATTAAAACACACGGAAACTGCCTATCGAGATTTTCTTATCTCTACAGGACGCATAGACATTATTTTTTGTTTGTTTGTTTATAACATTTTCATAGCTCACCACTTGCCCGCGAGTCCACAGAATACCCTTCGCCACCCAATTTTGGGTGATAATGATGAAAGGCAATAGAAATACGCACTGTTATATTTGAAACAAAATGTATAAACAAATCTATAATTTTTACATCTTTCTAATGATGAAGGACAGTTAATACGCGCACTATTATATTTTAAACAAAAAATTTTAAGAAATTTTTAAAGAAAAACTTCTCTGCGTGGTTAGTTCGGTGTTTAGCTCCTCTTCGTCGCCATCATCATGTGTCATCTCACACGTTCACCAGAATCACAGATCAGTTAAATATTTTTGTTTGGTATTATCTATCTGGTCAGGTTATCCAGGTATTGATCTCTTTCCGTGAATCCTGCCAGTTATAACCAAGTTCTAGAGTCCATTCCTTCTCACAGTGTGTCCAACAATTTATTGACTGTCTTCGTCTGTGGCTTAGGCGGTGCGAACGCGTTTCGTAATGCCGGGGTGCCGATTTTGATCTCAGCTACGCCAATTGCTTTGGTTTCGACAGTGGTCGAGAAGCCGACCCACCAGAAAGGCAGTGGCAAAAACTGGACGTCAACTTGAAAAACACTGGGTTAGTTCTGCAATGTCACGTAAAGGATACGCAACTAACATTTATTTTAACCTTGTCTAATTGTTCTAATGTAGCTCTCACAGAGACGTTATAAAAGGTTTTTTTTTGGGGGGGGGGGGGCGGTCTTCGTTTCCTTCCCATATCTCAAGGCGTCCCCGCCCCCTCCTCTTTCACTTGAGGTTTGAGGAACGACTGGCCGAACGGGTTAAGAATGCAGGGCTCTCATGTGAGAGACTCACGTTCTAATCCTAGGTAAAGTTAGGACAGGGGCGAAAATAAAATCCTTCGCTGTGTAGTCCATGGCAACAGCCCTATCCACACGCCCTAAATCTTCGGACTCAAAGATTCCCCTGCCTACACTACAAACATGATAAATACAAACAGTAAAGACTGATTTTACTTTTAGGTTTTGAGGAAAAAAATCTATTTAATTTCGTCTAACTACATTGTTTCATTTTTACGTTAAATACAATCGTGCCTTCATCGTCATTAAATACACAGAAAAGTCAGTTATTTTGCCAAAAATAAGTCATAACGTTAATTTGTTTTTACCTGTACATTATATCAGACATTCAGTTCGATTCATTAAACTTCTTTTCGGTCGTTTCTTTTTTTTTTTTTTTAATTCGCCAGTTGTGGTTTTGAGTGGAAGCTGAGACGATTACCGTTGTGTGTGTGTGTGAGTGAGTGTGTGTGTGTGTGTGTGTGTGTGTGTGTGAGAGAGAGAGTGTGTGTATGTGTATGTTAGGACGTATGCTTTAAAAAAAATTTTTATTTTAGAATTAAGAGCCGTATTATGCACGCAATGTGTTTCAAATATTTATTTAATAATTTTAGGCCTAAATAATATAAAACGTCTCTTACAGCGTAGCGACTTATACATTGACAAATATCGTACATGCGGATAGATCGACTTCCCCACTGTATTAAAAAAAGGGAGAAGGCGCCACCTTGATTTATGTAACAGAATAAGAAAGTAAACCTGTTATAATATCTTTGTGTCGTGGTAATTAGTTAGACCCTTCACACTCTGGTAATTGATATGGAAACGCCTTTATCGCCAATTTTCAAAGTGGGCCACCACCTTATATATTAAAAGTTGGATTTTCAATTGTGTAAATTAAAACAAAAATGCATTCTCAAACCACACACACACACACACACACAAACGCACGCACGCACGAACGCAAGCACACACACACACACACACACACATACAACATTATTTGCGTATCCTTTCAGGATGTTGCAAAGCCAACCTGGGGTGTTTATTAAAATACTATGCAATTTTACGTTCAGTAGCTTGCCATTAATCACTGAACGCAGATACTATTGTGGAAAGCAAAACCAGGCAATCGGCTGCCAAATACTACGCAGCTGTGGTCGAACCAGGTATCCCGGAATTACAAACTCTCACCTGGATCTACACACCTGGTAATGCGGGCGTAAAGGGAAATGAGCGACCGGACCAAACGGCAAGCATTGCACAAAGGCACGTGGGAAGAAAAATGGACAGAGCAAATATCGTCAACGCTGTATGGACTGGGCTAGTGGATAATGAGGAATCCCTGACACTAACACGATTGCGTAACATAGGAGTAAAGCATGGTGAAGCACGTCTATGCCGTCTTCGAGGCGGCGATAGGAGACAATATAACCAGCTTTTCATGGGAACAATTTGTAGAAGTTCCTTGGAGTAGCTGCTGCATCAGAGGACTGAGCACGCATAGAAATGCCCAATGTGCAGTGACGTCAATTGTGATAACATTACATAACATACACAAACCTCGTTTGCTTAATCCACACACAGGTATCATATACTCGTGTTTGTTTGCGAAGTTCTATAGAAGTATCATCCTCCTCATCATCATCCTCATCCCGTAATTCCACATGTCTTTGGGTCACCAGTTGTTGACTGTCTGATCAGCCCTCTCCATCTTTGACGGCCAGTTGCTATGGACTTCATGGCTGTATGCATAAGGCCTGTCCAGTCAGTCAAGTTCTGTATCTAGGCTTTTCTTTGTCTGCCTCTTCCCCTCTTTCCCTCTACTGAAAAAATTACGCTTTCATTACTGCTTTTAAAATTAAAATAAAAACGTTATCATTTTCTCCTTTTGCCTCACTTAATTTACCCCATTTCGTAGAGGTCTCCGCTCATCACCTTTCTCACAGCGCCTAGCAATCTATTCATCAGGTCATCCCATTTGCCCGCCTAGCTCCGAGTGTTCCCTGTAAAACTCAAGCCAGTTCAGTAAACACCTCATTCAAGCCAGGCACTCGTGTGAATAGACCGGGCAGTCAAACTGTTTCAGCATTTCACATTAATCATAATTGTAGTGCCGTCCAGAGAATGTGTTTCTTGTCGGGGTGCGATGAAGCGGCAGATTCGTGAACACGAGTAAATTGAACTGATTATGTTCTTGAAGTTCAGATTTTCACACGCACAGGAACATTTGATGCTATTAGCCATCAAACTGTCTACTTCAGCATCTTTCACATTATCCCAAAATAAACCCCATTTTCAACAGGTTGCACTCAATAAATAAAAACAGACAGGTATGGAGGGCATACTTTCCAGAGGAAAATTGTATAAACTGGATAGAAGACACGAGAACAAACACAAAGTTACGAGGTGAAATAACACTGTCTTCTTTTTCGCTTTCACCGTCTGAAAACCCGGAGGAAAACT